ACCAGCTTTTGTTAGAGGCACCTACGGGAGTTTCACTCAGATTGCCACATGCCTTGGGCTCCTAGGAGCTCTTCTCGTTGGAATTCCTGCCAAGGATACTGTTGGTTGGTAAGGATTCTTTGACCTTTATCTTCTTTTCCTTTATTTAGATCGAGTGATAGCACTGGCGGAGATTAAGGAAAAAAATGTTCTACTCCGTTTTATTCCATTTCACTGTTTGGTCAAACTATCTTTCTTGAATTTGAAACTGCTAAACTGCTTTTGTTGGTTCATATTAAGAAGTAATCGATTAGCATACATGCTTAAAGCATCCCATTATTTAATTGAATGATGTGTAACTACTTCTACAATGATGTCTCAGGTGGCGGGTTTGCTTTTGGATATCCACTATTCCTGCTGCCTTACTTGCTGTTTTGATGGAATTCTGCGCTGAGAGTCCTCACTGGCTTTTTAAGGTTGGGCACCATGCTCTTATTTCAATAAGTGTCTTGCATTGGATAGGAAAGTGGCATTAGGAAGTTCAGTTTCTTGTGAATATTGCAAATAGTAAAATCTGCTTACAATTCAAACTCACTAGGTCACTCAATGGAAGACGCTCTTTATTTCAAACTCACTAGGTCGGTCAGTGAATACTTGAAATGCATACGTGGGTGATCCATCTTTATAAACTACTGCTTGGTTTCCTGTCTTCAATATATATTCATATCTTTTAAGTCATACTCTGAATTGTAATACAATCCATCCAATGTTGGGTAAAATGAACATATCGATTATTTTAAACGTCTTTCCATGATAATTCATCCAATTTTCTCGGACCCTGGCTGTTTTAGGTGAATCGGCGGATACTTGAATTTCCTTCTAATTATATATCTATGTTAAGCATGTTTTCTTATGAAGCAACAGAATGAAATAACTGAAGGAGATATAATCTTGACAGATTCCAACAACATTATCCTGATTGCTTTCTCTATTCATTGATGGGGCTTGTGTTCTTCCTCTGTACAATAACTTAGCAGGTTTTAATACAACTACTAAACATTATTGGTTCATTCCTGCCACATTTTGTCTTGGGGTCCTGATACTACAGCCAAGACTACACCGTATTTATACCATAGAATAGTTGGCATGTTATTATACTTGTCCAAATAAAAGTTGGTATATTATCATCGCTCTCCAATGCAGGACCTTATTGATTTACTGTCAATACTGTGTTCTATCATTTACAAGCACTCGGCATCTTATGGCTCTCTTACTTCCCTTTTCACCTTTTGTTTCTGGACTATACTCAGAGAGGAAGAGCTGATTTGGCTGAAGAAGAGCTTGAAAAGCTAATGGGAGCATCACATGTTAAATATGCCATTGCAGAAATGTCAAAGACAGACAAAGGAGATGAGGTGGACAATGTTAGGTTTGGGGAGCTACTGTATGGACGTCATTTTAAAGGTATAATTATTGTGATGTGTTTTCATTCTGTCAATGTTTTCTTGTCTGAAAAAGTTAATGATTTTATAACTTTTGCCTATTGGACAGTGGTTTTCATGGGATCTGCCTTATTTGCTTTGCAACAACTATCTGGTATAAATGCTGTATTTTATTTCTCTTCAACTGTTTTTAAAAAGGCTGGAGTACCTTCAGACATTGCAAACACATGCGTTGGGATTGTAAACTTAACAGGTAACAGTCATCTCTCCATATCAAACATGTATAACACTCCTGGAAACTTGGATGTGTTGGTGATTTCTCGTTTCACTGTTGTCTATAACATCCACAGGGTCTATTATTGCAATGATTTTGATGGATAGGCTTGGGAGGAAGGTGCTTCTAATTGGGAGTTTCTTGGGCATGGTAACCTAATCTTGTTTGCTCAATCCCATATCAATCAATACTCAATAGGAGCATGTAATTCCAAAACATGTGTCTGTGCTTAGTTGCTTACCATGGTTTGTCCTAGACGTGTCACTATATTTTGCTTTCTGATGCTTAAACTTCTGAGATGTTTTTGGTCCAGGCAATTGCAACGGCCCTTCAAGTAACAGCCGCGAGTTCATTTGTACCAAGCTCTGCAGTATTATTCCTATCAGTTGGTGGGACCCTACTGTGAGTAATACACTTCAAGATTGTCGTTGTTGTAGTGGTTGATTTTGTAGTGGTTGATTATTGATAGATAGGACTAGATATGCTCTTTATACTGTAGTAAAGCACGTAAGAGATGAAGATAAATAGTTTCAGTACTGCTTCTGTGGATAACAGTTTCAACTGATTTCTAGATAAAAGTGTCATGTACTTAGTAACTGTTAAATCAATGAAAGATGAGACAATTTCATGCTATAGGTAGCTTTACTGACTGTTAAGAAGATAACTAGAAATGCACAAAAGCAAAGGCTGGTTGTTTTCTTTCAATAATGGAAGTTATTTATGTTAGGTATGTCTTGGCATTTTCTTTGGGCGCTGGGCCAGTCCCTAGCCTCCTTCTGTCAGAGATATTCCCTGGCCGGATTAGGGCAAAGGCAATGGCTTTCTGCATGGCTGCACATTGGGTATGTTCTTCCTGCTCTTGATTCTTTTGTTTCATGCTAATTATTCTCATTACTTTCTCCTTGGATGAAGAATACATGACACAATGTATTGTTCATGGGCAAACCTTCAAGTCTGAGTAACGTTTTATATCAGCTTGAGCGTATTGAGTATTGGGACGAGTAGGGTCCAAACAGAGTGAAAATGGATGTTGAGGGTTTTTACGGCCAACTTTAACTAGTTTGGGGTTGATGCAAAATACTAGTTGTTGTCTTGTTGAGGGAGGGGGTGATTGTAAGAAGGAGGATTATTCACTGGTATTAGCTTGGAATTACACATTTAATAGAAACACATATCTATCTAGCTGTTGAGTCATTTGACAAAATGAGATGCTGCTGAGAGCATCAGCCTAAATGTCACACATATCCACATTCTGCTATTGGGGGTGAGTCAAACAAGCTGTGCAGGTAAGTTCATCCATCACGAGTCACGGTTTCGATCGCTGCTGCAGACAAAATCCGGGTATTTAAGTGGAGAAGGGTAGAGGGGCGGGCCCATTATCCACCGAGTTTCGCATTGAGTGCCAATAGCCTTTGGAGAAGTCCCGGTTATCAGTAAACGAATCATCCATCTTAAGTCAGAGAACTGTTCTGTCTGCATAATCTACCTAAGTGGTAACCAAACCAATAGCGTTACCTTGCTCATTGCATGACAAAATGGATCTGCTTGTTCTAAGCCCCTTAAACTGCCAAGAAGCAGAAAAAATTGAACCATTTAAAGTGATGCGGGACACTAGGGGTATCCTAATTCACCCTGAAACTTGTTCTACAGTATTTATTTTGTTATCTTTGCTTCAACTAAGAATCAAATCTTTGCACATGATCAACTCCTTGATTCTCTGATGAGGTGTTGGATGGTCAAAGTATTTTGTGCCTAAAAAAAAAAGCCTGCCCCTAAAGACTTTTGACATCATTCTAAGGGAGATCTAAAATAAGCTGGTAAATATAAATACTGCTCTGAGCATAAAATGGTATGAGATCATTTTTTATATATAGAAAATGGAAAAAGAAATGAGATCAGTGCCTACTTATGTCCCCATTTACGTTCTAGTTCATGCTTGGTTCAGCTACATCACTGATTTATATTATGAAGTGTTCTTGGCACTTGCCATTTATTATAGTTTTATATTCTTGTTGTTGCTGTTGTTGAAAATCTCATAGCTCTTGTTTTATCTGAAATCTCGTACCTTTTTGTTGAGACTGATGCTTGAATTTTTCATCTTTTCTTTCCTAAGGTTTTCTGATTGCATATTTTGCTCTTTAACAGGTCATCAATTTTCTAGTCGGTCTTCTGTTTCTGCCGATGCTTGAGCATCTTGGACCAAAAATTGTGTATGCAATCTTTGCCGGTTTTTGCTTGTTGGCAGTGGCCTTTGTGAAAAAGAATGTGGTGGAAACAAAAGGAAAAACATTACAAGAGATTGAGTTTGCTCTTCTTCCGGCTCATTAGTGGTAACTGGATCACATACAATATTATTCAGACTGGGTAATGTTCAGACTTAGTGGTTGAACATCCAAATTCTAGCCTGCAGCTATTTCTTGATTTGTTCAATTTTGGAGTGTGTTCATAGGCGGGAAGGCAGTGACGACGAACAATCAGAGATAAAGATTGTCGCAATGCGAGTTTTTGCAGGACTTGTCACTGCTTATTGTTGCTGCTATTCTGCTCACTCCACTGGTCAGTGACTATTGCCTTTGGGAGCATGAAACTACATCTGCCTCAGCCAGTAGTAGATCACATATATACAGAGTACCTATTATTGCTATTTGTATAGCCTTTCTTTTAATTTTTGCCTTGATCTGATTTGTGTAATTAGCATGGCACAGAAAGGCTGCTCTGGACATTCCTTACAGAAATAATGTTATAGAAATTTAATTAGCAAGATATGTGGTAGGCTGGTAGCTGCATGCTGTAACAGAAATATTGGTAGTACTGTAATACGTAATCGATCAATGTAGTTGAAATTTTTCTCAATTTGGCTTCAGCAATGATTCTGTTATGTTGCTATAATATCTCAAATTGCCAGCTAGTTAGGAAGCCAAACCGTCAAGTATATTGGTCATTCTCATATTTTCTCAATAGAATTGTCTGCTCTAGGTGATCGAGGGCTTTGGTTCAGAAGTAAGGACATAGCACATGATGTTTGGATTAGTTACACGTCACAGGTTTGAACCCATACCACAGACAGCCTGGTATTTAAGTTAGGAGGAGAATAGAGGGGCAAGGCTCATACTCTCCCAAGTTCTGAACTTGTGTGCCAGCTATATAGCCTGTTTAAAAGTTTCTTATTTTGAGAAGTGTTGTTTTCAAAAGTATTTAAGAATCCTCTTACTAACTGGAATCAAAGAATTAGTAGATCTGTTCCGCCCAAAATGGGAATGGGCTAGGGTTATGAACTTATAATCTGATGATCGAGTCGATTCCATGATTATAAGTTCATTCCATACCGGACCAGGCCGGAATAGGGTTATATACATTCTCATTATGAGAAGGGGTCAACTAGTATATGAAAATACTTCTGAGCATGAATTCGTGTTTGGTCAAGCTTTTAACAAGTGCTTCTAAATGTATTTTTTTCAAAAGTGCTTTTTAAAAAAGGTATTTTTGGGGAAAATTTACTTTTTTCTACTTTTGCAAAATTTCTTCTACTTTACTCAAAAACACTTTTTTTTCTTTGAAAAGCTTGGCGAAACACTTTAACTTTGCAAAAAGATACTTTTAAAAAAAAGTGTTTTTGGCCTTGGTAAAGGCTACTAGTCGAGCCGAAAGGCCGTCAGGAGTTTCTGCTATATTCTTTTTTTTGAAAAAAAGTGATCGTCTTGGTTGTATTTAAGGTACAGTTTGGTAATCACGCCATAATGCTAAACATGTACTGCATATTATTGAGTTTAGTCATGCATTAGCTGTTATAATGATGCTAAGCATGTTTTGTTATCTGATATAGTGGCTTAATGTGAACTTCATTACTCTCTCAATTAACTGTTTTAATGCATCACACGTCTTTCCTATCTCAAGTTGACTTTGAATAACTTTTCTTTTTTGGACTTTGAATAATTAGCTTCCAGAATGTCGTATCTTTTTTCTTTTTCTTTCTAAATAACAGCAAGTCCTATCTGAAAATTGAAGAGAGTTCAGAAACGAGGATAGTCTAATATCTACAACGAAAATGAAACTACTAGAATGCAAATTAAAACAATGAAAAGGGACGTTATACTAATCATCTTTCCAATTTGCAACTAGTCACCAAACTCGGCTGGTGGCATATGAATACATAGCCAACTTGGAATAAAATGGTATTGGAAGCTTCTTGTAACTTGAGTTATAATTAGAAAAATTTCTACTGGACTCAAACCTCCCTATAACAACATCCCTATATAACAATCATTCACTATAAAAGCTAAGCTTTTTCGGAATCGATTTTAACATTATATTATAATATATGGTCTTCATGACAACACTTCACTATAGCAGCTAAAAAATATCGGAACAAACGAGGCTGGTATAGAGAGTTTGTATTTAACCTCCTTAATTTTGTCCATTTCTGCGATATTAGTGAAATTTTAAAAGATTGTATAACGTGAAAAGGACATGCAGCTAATCTGAATAATCTCATTGATTATTTGTTCCAAGTCAAAGATGCCGTCTACTCTGGACATGTCTGTTTTCTCGTCAACATATCACACACAACCATTTCCCCTACATTATATGATAGAAAGAGCTCATTTGATATTTGAACAGAAAATTTTCTTCATCCAACTTGAGGTGTATACGTAGGTGTAAAATTTTTGGATACAATGGGAAGAGTTGAAGAAAATAATGAAATAGAAACTCCTAAACCAGGTGAGAGTGGTGAACCAGTTGCCTCACAGCCTCCTCCACAGTACCAAGGAGTAAAGGATGTACAGCCGCCATCGCCATCACAACCAATTGGAGCTCCCTGGAGCACTGGCTTATTTGATTGTCATTTGAACCAGATTAATGGTAATTACAATATTTCTTCTTTTTCCTTGCTAATGATTTATTTTGGTATCAACTACCTATGTGTTATTATGCTGTGGTTCTGCTTTTGCCATTAATATTTCCTCTATTAATAAGAAATATTTTTAAAGAAAATAATTTTTTGGTGTTTAGATGCTGGAAAATATTTTCTTTCATACCAAACATGCTCTTCAGGGAGAAACTGTTAGGACAGAAAAAATGAGGTGTCATGCGTAAGCTACTTGAATGTTGTTAAATCATACAACAAAGAGAAATATATCAAAAGAGACACAAGCATATAACGTGGTTCGGTCAATTGACCTATGTCCACGGTGGAGATGAGTAATCCACTATATAAAAAGAGAGTACAAAATATTGAGAGAACAACCTCGCGAAGAGGGCAAACACAAGTGACACACTAATACTTGTCCCGTAAAGTTCTCTCCCTAAATATGGCTACATCGTGGATGCTACTGAATGAGAAGGAAGGATCCTCAATTTATAGAAGTCCAAACCTTTTCCTACAAGAAAAAGGACTAGCCAAATGGGGTAAACATGTTGCCCTTTCCTTCAACAAATAAGAAAATCAAATATAGTAAGAAAATTATGGCAAACACCTAATAGAAACTAGGAACATCAAGGAACAGATCAATTTGTTGGCAGAGGGTGCAACGCATCTACTCCTTTTGACTCGGAATACTATATATGTAGTTGAAATCTATATCTATATATTAGAAAATTCGTAGGCGTTATCACAAAAAGGTGATAGTATAATCATACTTTGCATTCACTGATTTAAAATCCTTGATCCGCCTTTAATTTAAGAACATTCTAGTTTGTGCAATTGTTATGACCAGTATTTTACTGACTTAAAATTCTTGATCCGCCTCTAAAGAATATCCTCATTTGTGGAGCTATTATGACAAATGTTTACTGACTTAAAATCCTGGATCCGCTTCTAAAGAACATACTTGTTTGTGCAGCTGTTATGACATCATTCTTACCTTGTGTAACATTCGGACAGATAGCAGAAGTCCTCGATGCAGGAGAAATGAGTAAGTCCCAAATGTGCCAGCAATTATTTTTAGATCGTTAGTGCACAGAAGTTAAACTCTTTCCCTCTTAATAATACTAATTAAGGATTGATTTTTTTATGGTGATTGCAGCATGTCCTTTGGGGACTTTCATATACTTGCTGATGATGCCTGCTGTTTGCTCTCAATGGATAATGGGCTCTAAGTATAGAACTAAGCTGAGACAGAAATATAATCTTGTTGAAGCTCCTTATTCAGACATAGTTTCCCACATATTCTGTCCATGTTGCTCTCTTTGTCAAGAGTTCAGAGAACTTCAACACAGGGGACTTGATCCTGCTCTAGGTATGCATGTCACACTTGGTACAATAATCTTTTCACCATATTGTAGGCAGGAGAAGGGGTGCGTTGGCGTACTGATAAAGTTATTGCCATGTGACCAGGAGGTCACGGGTTCGAGTCGTGGAAATAGCCTCTTGTAGAAATGCAAGGTAAGGCTGCGTACGATAGACCCTTGTGGTCCGATCCTTCCCCGGACTCCGCACATAGCGGGAACTTAGTTCACCGGGCTACCTTTCATACTGTAGGCAGGGCGGATTTAGGCAGGGCAGATTTAGGGGGGCGGAAGGAGGTTAAGGTGAACCCCTTCGCGGGAAAATTACGTACATTGTACATATAAGGCAAAATCTATTTTGTACCTCTATATATTATATTTTGAATCCCCTGGACACAACCCAAAAGCATAACTCAGTGGTCAAGGAGGTTGAAAAACTTTGTAAGGTTATTGGTTCAATTACCACCGACTACCGTCTCTTTTAATTTTTTTAACTTTTTTTTGAACCCCTTAGTGAAAATCTTGTCTCCGCAGCTATTCTTGAATTGAATACGTGAAAATATTTTTGTTGATTAGTGGTGATGGGAATTCTAATCTAAAGTTTTAACCTTGTTCTAATACCATTGAACTGAATGTACAAGAAAGAAATAATTTTCTAACAGGAGAGTGAAAAATGTGATGCAGGATGGAATGGTATAGTTGCTCAGCAGCATTATGGGAACCAACAAGTGAATCAAGCTCCCCAAGTACAATCCATGTCTAAGTAAAATTCAAGATTCTGATTCTTTATTTGTTTGAGTTAAGGTTGTAATATGTTACATGTGTTTTGACACAACCAGATTCTGTTCATGTTGTAGCCTTATTATTTATTCAACCATCTTGTTGGCAGTGTTGATTGTTGTACTATGTTTCTAGAACTCTATTTTTGGGAGTTACATACTTCCGCGTATATGAAAATTGAGTTTGCAATGATCTAATGAAGTCTTGGCATCAATTATTAATTGGGCAGTTCGATTTATTGCTAAATATTTGCGTGGAAATGACACTAGATAGCTACTTTTAAGCATATTGTTTAAAATATTGACAGAATTGAAGAAGAATTTAGGAGAATTTTATGTATATTTTCTGATGATTCAAACGTCTGTACAGCCTATTGTATAAATACACTGAAAAGGAATCTATTCTCTAACTACCTAGCCAGTTGTACAATTTCTATTAGCTGTCTTGTAACAAACTAAATGATAAAATCAAAGAATAAACTAATTTGTATGTATAGAAATTGATAAATGATTTTCTGTTTGCTGCTTCTTTTTAATAGGCCCAAAGAGAGTTGTTTTGATTTTGGGCCCAAGCTGTTAAGAAAACCCAACCGAGTGAAAGTTGTTCAGGCCCAAATCTGATGATCCATTAAGTCCAAAACATTGTGCCAACTGATTGATTTAATCTCATCCGTCCATTGGCATTAAACCTAATATTCTCTTTCAGACATAAACATATGAAGTAACGAGAATCTCTGTCAAAACTCCATCGGTAAACCTTCTCTGTTAAACTCTATTGATAAACCTTCTTCTTTGCTAAATTTTGTATCATCACCAACACCCCCCTCAAGTTGGAGGGGGAAGAAAGAA